CTGGTATCTGGTATCTGGTGTTTGGTATCTGGTATCTGGTGTCTGGTGTCTGGTATCTGGTATCTCGTATCTCGTTTCTGGTGTCTGGTATCTGATGTCTGGTATCTGATGTCTGGTGTCTGGCATCTGGTATCTGGTATCTGGTGTCTGGTATCTGGTATCTGGTGGCTGGTATCTGGTGTCTAGTATCTGGTTTCTGGTATCTGCTATCTGGTATCTGTTATCTTTTATAAGTTATCAGTTTTCATTTTTCATTTTTCTATTTTAATTTTTAATTTTCATTTTAATTTTTCTATTTTAATTTTAATTTTTAATTTTTAATTTTTATTTTTGATTTTTCGATTTTTCGATTTTTGATTTTTGATTTTTGATTTTTGATTTTTAATTTTCAATTTTTCATTTTTCATTTTTCATTCTTCAGATTTCAGTTTTCATTTTTTAGTTTTCAGTTATCAGTTATTTGTTATCTGTTACCTGTTTTCTTTTATCTGTTACTTTTTATCTGTTATCTGTCATCTTTTATCTTTTATCTGTTATAAGTTATCTGTTATCTGTTATATGTTACCACCGTTACCTGTTACCTTTACCTTTTACCTCTTATCTGTTGTCTGTTATCTTCCATATAGCATTGAAAATATCCTGTATACAATTGTATAACAGACTCAGATTTATGTGAGATGCCGGCAACGTCGCATGTGTTGTTGTTAATACCATACATGGCGTTATAAAATCTTCCATGTAGCAAATTGTATAGCAGACTTAGATTTATATGAGGATCGTCGCATAAATCTAGCTATAACACGACTTGCAAAAAAATGGCGCTTGACACTGACATATGTCAACCGTGTTCGTCTATGGATAGCAGTGGACTATGCTTTCTTCAGTGTATATGTTTTCTGTTTTGTAATGTCAATGTCATTGTCATAGGTAATTTTTTCTAACCTGGAAAATGAAATGTATTTTGTTTAAAATTAAAATTCAATAACTCCTATTGTGAGATGTGTGCATCTACAACATAATGAAAGGAAAAATTAAGATTCTGAAAGTTAATTCCTAAATATCATAGTAAGGAAATCCGTAAAACTAAAAAAAAAGTAAACATAAACACCTTGAGAAAACTTCTTCCGTATCAAGTGGTTAAAGTGGAGTTTTAAAACAATTTTTGTTGAAAATAAGGCCGTTAGTTTACAAGCAGGTATGTAACTAAGCGATCCGCTAATGTGTGGGTATCTTGCTTATGAAAAATGCTGTATTTAGATATCATTGCTATTCATATAAGCTACCGTTCTTTGATAGGATATTTTCAAATTGAACTTTTGTCTTATTGTTACTATTTATTACAGAAAATGGTGCAATGCTGGGCACCCGACTGTAAGCAGTATAATGTTAGAGAAACACGTAAGATGTTCAGGTTTCCCAAAGATCCAAAAACAAGGAATCATTGGATAAAACTTACAAGGTAACACCACAAAGACCATACTGGAATTATCATTTGTTAGGAACATGCGAAACGTACAATTGAATACAATAAAAGTAATACATGTATTGTTTCATTTGATTGCAGGAGAACAGTTGAACCAGGTCTTGGTGCATACTTATGTAGTTGTCATTTGTGGATGGTAAAAAAGAAAATGGACCTACACTGTTTAGGTATAATAGGGAGAAGCAATTAAACTTTCCATCACCAGAAAGAAGAACCCGTAAAAAGACCATTGATAAACCTTTTAATATTGATGTAGATATAAGGTTAGTTATACAATATCAATTTCATTCACGTGTGTGCAAATTCAGTGTGTTCACAGATCTGAAAGCGAGCCACAACCATCCACCTCAATACAAACTGATGAACCTCATACAAAAGGTTCGATGTCAAATGCATCACTAGATGCTGAAAACTATTATCTTTGGCAGGATCTGGAGCTAGCTACAGCGAACCTTATGCATCTCACTGATAGGTTTTCTTTTGATGTTGTGAAAGGAAATGACAGGCTAGTACTGGTGTATACAGGCTTACCATCAGAGAAAATATTTTTTTCTTTATTCAACCTGTTGAAGGACATTGATATATATTATTATTATAAATGGAAAGTTAAAAAAATGAGAAAAATAGATCAGTTATTCATGACTCTTACTAAGCCAAGACAAAATTTCCCTCATGATGATTTAGCTGTTCGATTCAATGTATCACAGGGTCCAGTATCAAATGTTATAACAACATGGATACATTTATTTCAAGAAAATATTTTCAGTAGTTTTACAAATTATAGGATAATCATAGATTGTACTGAAGTATATACATCTGTATGTCGGTCAAGTATAGCGACATGAAAACTAACATATAGCTCATACAAATACAGAAATACCTGCAAAAGGTTAATTGGTGTATCTCCTAATGGAGCACTTACTTATATGTCAAGTTTGTATCCTGGGTCAGACAAAAAAATTATTAAGGATTGTGGAATACTCAATCAGCTTGAAGCAGGAGATTTAGTATTGGAAGATAAAGGTTTTTTAATAAAAGACTTGATGCCTTCTGGTGTCAATATTAACATTCCATCATTTCTTACAACACAACAGTTCACTGCTGAACAGGTAAGACAAACAGAATGTATTGCACAAGCTACGATTCATGTTGAACGTGCAATAAGAAGAATAAACACATTCAGTATATTCGATCTTATTCCATATGCTTTGTTGCCACATGCAGATGTAGTATTTCAAGTTATAGGTACTTTGACTAACTTACAGTATCCACTTATAAGAGAAGTTGAACAGTTTTATTCTGCAGGTACCCATAAAGTGTAGTTTGTATAAAAATTGATATGTATATAGTATAATAGTGTATCTAGTTTATAGTATAATAATACTAGTGACATGAATTAGCAATAAATAACTGTCCAGCACTTGTTTTATTCACACATCAGTATGATACTGCTTTATAATTCATCTGCTCTACTAGCTACCTAATCAAACATCCTTTATGTACAAATATAGTTTCCATTGTCTAGAGCACATAATTGTGGACAAAATAATTTGACAGCTGGTAGAGAAGATAATGTCTGTAAACAATGGCAAATAAAACACCAGTTGCATAAATATTGTTTTATTTTCAATCATGATAAAATATTTGTCAGAAATTGTTCACTGTAAAATGATTTTAAAATATTTAAATTACTTTCCCATTCATCGTTTCTTGAAATTCTCATAACTACTTTATCTTTTGGAGTCTATATCACTATATACCTTTATTTGTAATGTGTAACTGTCTTTGCACTTGGTGATAATAATTATAATTTTGATGAATGGTCCAGGAACAGTTATAATACGAAACAAGATAATTTTTATTTTTAGTGAGCACCTCTGACAAATTTTCTTCATTCCTACGTTTGAAAGAGCATCTCACTTCAATAGTACAATTTTCACTTATATATCCATCAAGGCTTGCACCTAAAAAACCACATTCACCAAAGCAGAATCCTGCAGGTTCTACATGTAATCCTGTAATATCTCCAAATCTTTCTATGGCAGTATGTTCATTCTCCCTTCCCCACTGAATAGCCCGAACACCACTCAATTCATATCCATCTAATAACACTTTGAATAATGGTTTTAGGTACTTTTTCCTTTGGCAAGCTGATAAAACTGTACCAAACTTGCTGGATGTCAGTCTGTACTTTCTTGCCAATTTGCATTATTTGACTGACCAATAGTCATCTCTACAACTTTCCTTATAATATCTGCACTCAAACAAGATTTCTGTAAAAAGTAATCTTCTTTATTAGGGGTTGTTGTGTAGCTCAGGAAAGTCTTTGGTCAATATATACGCCTAAGAATCTACCACAGTCTGTCAGCTTGACTTCTACCCTATCAGCTAAGTGGATCTTCGTAGCTTCCATTTTTTTCTTTAACTTGAATATTATCGCATTTGTTTTTGATGTGTTCAAGGATAGATCGTTGCGAGCAAACCACCAAAATGCTTTCTCGCATATGCTCAATGTATTTTCGGCTACTTGGTTGAAATCTTGGCCAGCTATAATCACACTAGTATCATCTGCATATTGAATAGTACATACATTGTTCGGGTTTGTTATACTATCACTCAGATCATTTATAAACATCACAAAGAGGAGAGGACCCAAGACGTTTTTGTGGGATACCTCTATCTATTGTTAACTGCGATGAGACTGCTGTCCTGCTATTCTTTATGATGGAAACACTTTGTTGGCGGTCTGTTAAATAAGACTTGACCCAGTTCCAGGCACTTCCCCTGATTCCAAATGCCTCAAGTTTACAGTAAGACAGAATGTTCTACACAATCATATGCTTTGGAGAGATCAAAAAACAAACCCAATGATATCATATTATTTCCCAGACATTCTATAATACTGTGGCTAAAGGAGTATATAGCCGTATTTATCGATTTCCCTTTTATAAAGCCATGTTGTGATTCAGAAATTAAGTTATTACAGAGCATGTGATACATGATTCGTGAATACATCACCAGTTCGAAACCCTTTGCAAAGCAATTCAAGAAAATAACAACTGTCTTCTAAAAAGGTATGCTACAAAAATGTTCTTACAAACTACTCGATCTTTATGTTATACAGCGGTTCCGCAAGGTCTAGGTGTTAAACGGGATAATTTTGACAAAAATAGCACTAATTCTGCACCAATGTATACGCTACTAGGTTGACCTAAAACTCCAGCTTATGCTACTAGTTTATTCTGATATGAATAAAGCAACTTATTTAATTGATTGAAAAATTGATATGAGAAATGTGCGATGAATGATATTTCACTGATGTCTAAATAGCACTGTTTTTGTGTACATACATCTTATCCTTTCTTTTTTCAATTGATCCATTTTTTTCATCGTTTCATAATGAATCCGAATTTTGAAATATTTTGTAAAATTAGCTTTATAATACTAAATGAATATCCATCTATCAAATCATCTTCAAACAAGTGATGCTCAAACTTATCTAAAATTTTTGTAGGTACTATATAGTTTCCATTGTGTTTTTAATCAAAATAGCAGGAAGATTTGGCACATGTTTATTAAATATGTCTCTAGGTTTATGAAAAAATCTGAAATACTTTTCGGCAGCTACACAAATTTGGAGTATTATGTCTGAGGGAGTAGTTAATGCTCTATATTTTTTTCTTTTTTGTAAATATTTGACATTATCACCTTCGAGTACCTTAGTACATTGACTGCAAGTTATGCATTTCAGAAAACTTCTCACCACATAGCCTGAAATATAGCCAACTACATCTTCAACATAATCTGTTAAATTCCAGGCTTGTGATGAATAAAACTTATAAGTAGCAATATCATTCATAATTTTTTTTTCAAAATCCAAATAGGTTTCACTACTTTTCAAATCATTGCCACTATCATCCATTGTAACCTGATGTCCACTCCCACAAGTCAGAATGGTGAGATCTTTGATGGACACATTACCAGATTCTGGTCCTGTGACCTCTGTATGTATAAGGAGGCGCTTATAAGCCGCTTCAAAATGTCTGGCTGAAGGGTAATTATTAAATCCACCCTTAGCTCTTATAGCTCCGAAAAAATGCTCTAGATGATCTTGAGAAAATTTGTTAGTTAAAATATACTTTAATTGTTCCGAGTCTACCTCTTTGCCTTCTAATTCTGATTTTTCAACAAATTTTGAATAATATTGCCTCAAAGTAGTGACGCTTATCAGAAATCCTAGAAAACCTGTTTTTTTAGGGGACTGAGTTACTGGAACATCAGCCAACTTCAAATTGCTAATGTATTGGCACATTTCATCCATATAACTAAAAAAAGTTTTTGCAGTGGCCTGTGATAATGGTCGCTTAAATATGTATTTAGCCAATCTATTTCTGGAATTACAAATGTCGAATAGATTGTTAAATTTCAGGATAAAATCGGCTGTAGGTTTCGCATTCCTAAATGATGGTATTTTCAAATCTAGACTCAAATACATCAATGCATCAGCCACACTCTTGCTTAATGTCTGAGTGGCAATTTTCACTTTTATTTTTTCTAGAGTCCACTGTAAATGTCGGTTTCTGATTTTTGTGCCTAAATGTAGTCCCTCAAAATTTTGAATTTCTACGAGCTTTTCCAAAAAAGTCCAGTCTATGGTATTATTATCATTGTCTATCAAATATTTTTGTGAGCCAAATGTATTTCTGACCAATTTCATCATGTGCGAAGGGTCCAAAAATATGAAAACCTTATTACCTGTTACTGGATGAGCAAAATGTGTTTTAAGGTTGTTAATGTCCTTGAAATCTGCACCTAAACATGATGACATCGTAAAATTTACAGGAGCACCATCAAAAGTTATAGAGGTAACTATGACTCATGACTCATGTACAAATGTGAGACATTTCTTAACTACTCTGCTTTCTCAACACCAGTGAGGCCGTCCAAAAAAAAAAATAATCCACAGGTAACTGCCATGAAGCATTTATACAAACAACCATACATACTAAAACTTCTTTGACATGAGGTAGAACATCTGAATCAAATTTAGTTCCAATATCAATATAACCAGTGAATTTTGTCCCAGTCCATTCGACCTGCTCCCTGATAGACATTTCATGTAAGACCAGGTTGCACAGGATGTTCTCTGGTTTTTGACGCTAACTTTTTACCTTCAAAGCATTTAGTGCTTCTGAAGTAAAACCAGGAGAGCCATCCAATTGACTGATACCATTTAGAAATCGTGGATGGATGAGGTAAAGATTTATTAAAAGTATTCCTTACGAACTGGTATGCTTTTGGGGAGTAAAAAGATAGCGTCAAAGCAAAACATCTAATAGATGGGTCATATTTTGTGAAGATGGGCCTTTCAACATCCTCTCGAATATTTTTTGTCCTGAGGTTGATAAAGAGGCCTGAAAAAACAAAAGATGGGTGTAAGGTGTAATAGCACTGCTGCTCATTATTTAGAGTTAAATCACCACATTCATCTTAAAAGGTTGATTTTGACTACCTTCTCCAGTCATTTACATACATTTAACTAGTTAAATTAAACAGGAATTGATGAAACAAGTAAATTTATTACACATTCAATTAAAAACATGAACCTAAACTGAGTCTTTACTACTATCCAAAAATCAGTATGATTGATACCAAAGAAAAAATTGAAATAATTTTACTTCTGTCCGTTATTCTATATTATCTAATTTAGAGATTTTTACCTCAAGAAACAGTCCCTGACGATTAGTTATACTATGATTTTTCTTTAAGCAGCTTCATCAAGCCTCCTAATGTCTTGATTTTTTTCTTAAAGTATGTATTGCTAGCCTGAAGATTATGACTCTTTCTTTCTCAGAGCAGTTATAGTATTCTTCATCAAATGAAAATTCTTCTTCGCCTTCTCTGGTGTAGAAAAGTCTGATGAAGATAAGTCACCCACATACCTTCTTTTTCTGAAACAATGAGATATGATTGGAATTCATCATATATGTGAAGCATATGTCATTAAAATCTTATTAGATCATCTATTTTCTCAATATTTCTCACCTATTTTTACGTGCAGTTGCAAGAGAAACATCCTTGAACCCAGCATCAGGCTCTGGTTGGTTCTCAGTTTCTGAGACGCTAATTGTTGATGAAGAAGATCCAAAGCTTTGATCAAGATTGGAAACTGATGCTTTTTTCCTGTGCTGACCTATAAAAATAAAATATCATAATATAATTATATTATATTAAATTATATAAAATATTTCATGTAATTTAATATTCAAAACAAAATACTTACTGGTAGACAAGCCAGAAATGTTGGGTAGGTCATCAAATTTCAGCCTGAAACAAAAAGCAAGTATTATATTACTATAAAGTATCTAGTTCTGCATAATTCTGCAAGCTTCAGTTGAATATATTTATTTGCTTTGATATGAGAATGATCATTTACCTCTTTACATCAGGAATGTTATCTTGATGGCACATCCCCTTGAATGGCTGAGTAACTTGATCTGTTGAACTTTCGCTAATTGAAGATTCACAACTGTCAAATCAATAAAATATCATGTAAAATAAGCTTTGCTAGTCACAAACCAATTGAATAACACTGTGAGTTCTTTCTTCATTTCATGTAATGAATCCATCATTTCTACAAAAATCTGTATGATGCCTCTCAAATATAGTTACAAACTGTTGTTTGAGAATTTAATAAGACCTTCTAATTCTGTTTGTGTGTTTCATATTTAGATCATTTACAACTCAAACCTAGTCCCTATGCGAACAGAGAAACGAAAAAAGCTGATGAAGCTATGCTAGCAAATTAGGTACTGAAAATTACAATTTAGGTCTTTGCGTATGCTTCTAAACTTCATCAGCATTAGTCGACCAGGCATTCATGTCTTTTTTGAACAGTTCAAGCACTCCTGTGGTCATTCTTTTTTGACAAGTAATAGTGTCTGTTGTTTTGGCAAAAATAAGCTTTAGTAGTCACAAAGCAATTAAATAACACTGTGAGTTTCTTCATTTCATGTAATGTATCCATCGTTTCTACAAAAATCTGTATGATGATTCTCAAATATAGTTAAAACTGTTGTTTAAGATTTAAGAAGACCTTCTAATTCTGTATGTGTGTTTCGTATTTAGATCATTTACAACTCAAAACCGAGTCCTTATGCGAACAGAGAAACGAAAAAAGCTGATGAAGCTATGCTAAGCAAATTAGGTACTGAAAATTACAATTTAGGTCTTTGCGTATGCTTCTAACTTCATCAGCATTAGTCGACCAGGCATTCATGTCTTTTTTGAACAGTTCAAGCAACTCCTGTGGTCATTCTTTTTGACAAGTAATAGTGTCTGTTGTTTTGGCAAAAAATAAGCTTTAGTAGTCACAAAGCAATTCAATAACACTGTGAGTTTCTTCATTTCATGTAATGTATCCATCGTTTCTACAAAAATCTGTATGATGACTCTCAAATATAGTTAAAAACTGTTGTTTAAGAATTTAAGAAGACCTCTAATTCTGACAAATTTGTAGTTGGGTACTTCGACACTACTATTACATATTTTGAATGATTGTTTAGTTTAGTTAAGAGAACAGAGCCCCAACTCAAGTTAAATCAACAAGTGATAAATTCAAACTTACGTTTGCCATAGAAATATCTACTCCTGCACGGACACTGTAAACATTTCACAACACTTTCACTATTTGTAGTTGTGATTGCTTGTTCTAAGCTTCTAATTAATAATCCTTATTAACGGGAGCCTCATTATTAAGATTTCGCTAATGTTTACATTCATATACGTTGTAGGTTAGAAATAGGAAACTGTTGTTTAAGAATTTAAGAAGACCTTCTAATTCTGACAAATTTGTAGTTGGGTACTTCGACACTACTATTACATATTTTGAATGATTGTTTAATTTAGTTTAGAGAACAGAGACCCTAACACAAGTTAAATCAACAAGTGATAAATTCAAACTTACGTTTGCCATAGAAATATCTACTTCTGCACGGACACTAAACACTTCACAACACTCACTATTTGTAGTTGCAATTGCTTGTTCTAAGCTTCTAATTAATCCTTATTAACGGGAGCCTCATTATTAAGATTTCGATAATGTTTACATTCATATACGTTGTAGGTTAGAAATCGGAGGTGATGCAATTAGACATACGCTTTATATCAATCGGTTGGAAAAGCGGAGCTTTATGCCATATTGTAAAATTATAACATGAATAGGGGCTTACAATCATATTTTTATCGTATTTATAAACCGATGATGATTTCAATAAATTGATGACGTCAAAGAATAATTGCAGCCTTTGGCGGTAGACATCGCAATCTGTAAACATAAAAAACTACTAGATTCATCCGATTTTAATGGCTCTAGTCCGGTCCGTTTAGACAATGGAATATAGAAATTTGAATCTTTTCGAAAATTGTTGATTTTCACGCGCAAAAAAGGACAATTCTATTTGGCGTGATCCAATATTGGATGAAGCGATAGTCATGAAGCCGAAAATGGCACGTTTTTGACGTTCCGCTCGCTTTCGTAATACGATCGTATCTACAATACCCCCGCCTAACAGGAATCCGGGGATCTGGAGGGGAAATTCAAAATTGAAACTTCAAACTAAAAATGTGTGCATATTTTTGAATTTTGTAATCTGCCGAGTTTAAAAAATGCGATCGGGTAACGTGTCGTATGTCGGTTTAATCAGGAGACTTTGGTCTTTCGTTTTGCGAAAAAAAAATCGTAGCTACGTCGCTCTCGTAACGCAGGTGCGTATCGACGAAGACAAAGTACGGCCGAAAAAACGGTTGTCATCGGTACTTTTGAGGCGCTCAAAGTTTACTTTCTCGAAATTTGACGGTAATTCTGACGGTCAGAATCGTTTCGTCAGCTCATTATCGTTATTTTTCGATAGCTGTATAATTTTTACTCGCTCACGTACGGTAGTAATAAGCGAGGACAGAGCCGGATGACAAGGTGACTTTTTCACGCGTCGAAAAGTAGCGTATTGTCGAGGAATTTTTAAAAAATCGAAACTTTTCAACGTAAACGAATAATAATGATGAAAAATAGTATTAAAAGAGTGTCCGAAGCATGGACTTTCGCACGCAAAAATCGTCAGGTTCGTAGCTCCTTTATCTTCGGAGGAGATAGCTGATTTACGGCGAAGCAGCGCGCTTTATAACGCAAAAAAGTCATTCTTGACGACGTTCGAGGTTCGTTTATTCGAAACGGGTACCGTAAACGAAAAAACGTCTCTCCGCGTAATTTGTAGCGCTCGCCGAGATGTACGAAACGCGGCACGCGAAATTCCTTTTCTCTTC